AAAATTTATAAATTATCATGAAACTATATAATTTAAAAAGAGAAAATAACCTCAGTGACAAAAAATCCCAGATAATATACGATTTTGATCAACTTTTTTTGGATTTGCGAAAATGACCAACAAAATCGCAATGCGATCTCTAATTCGCATTGCGATCTCCACTATCGCAAATTCGCGTTGCATTTCGCGTTGCGATAATTGAAAATCGCGTTGCGATAGTTGAAAATCGCGTTGCGATTTTCCATTTCGCGTTGCGATTTTCCAGTTCACGTTGCGATAGTTGAAAATCGCGTTGCGATTTTCCATTTCGCGTTGCGATTTTCCAGTTCGAGTTGCGATAGTCTACAGTTATCGTTGTGATTTTCCAAATTCGTTGCGATAGTCTACAGTTGTCGTTGCGATTTTCCAAATTCGTTGCGAAAATCGCGTTGCGATTTTCCATTTCGCGTTGCGATTTTCCAGTTCGCGTTGCGATAGTTGAAAATCGCGTTGCGATTTTCCATTTCGCGTTGCGATTTTCCAGTTCGCGTTGCGATAGTTGAAAATTGCGTTGCGACAGTTTACAGTTGTCGTTGCGATTTTCCAAATTTGTTGCGATAGTCTACAGTTATCGTTGCGATTTTCCAAATTCGTTGCGAAAAGTCGTTGTGACAGTTAAAAAAAAGATTTTGTTTCTTAAGAATTTTCTCTAAAAAAATAGTATCCGCGCGGACGTGTCAAAGACACATATTACCACGACCCGAGACGAGACGAGACGGACGGCAGTGGCGGCGTGCGAGAGTCCCCCTTGTTCTCTCTCACTCAACAAGGAAGTGGGAAAGCCAAGCCTTAAATACCATTCTCTATAGTGTTTCCAATACTATGTGGGATTGAGCATTACCAACACTTGTTTCCAATACAATGTGATTATTCAGGAAACAATTAACAATCATGCACCTTAAAACAACTGAATCAGCAACCAATTGCATTAGTATTATACGATTAAATATGTCATAATTAAAAGTCAATCTACAATCAATCGCGATTATTGCAATTTTAAGCAAAACATTCAAAAATAATATCACTATTTAAGGCTCAATCCCACATAGTATTGGGAACAAGTGTTGGTAATGCTCAAATCCCACATAGTATTGGAAACACTATTGGGAATGGCATTTAAGGCTTGGCTTTCCCACTTCCTTGTTGAGAGATAGAGAACAAGGGGGACTCTCGCGCGCCGCCGTCGCCGTCCGTCCGTCTCGTCTCGGGTCGGGTCGGGTCGTGTCGTGGTCGTGGTCGTGGTCATACGTGTCTTCGACACGTCCGCGCAGATACTATCTTTTTAGAGAAAATTCTTAAGAAACAAAATCTTTTTTTTTAACTATCGCAACGAATTTGGAAAATCGCAATGACATTGTAGACTATCGCAACGCGATTTTCAACTATCGCAACGCGAAATGGAAAATCGCAACGCGATTTCCAACTATCGCAACGCGAAATGCAACGCGAATTTGCGATAGTGGAGATCGCAATGCGAATTAGAGATCGCATTGCGATTTTGTTGGTCATTTTCGCAAATCCAAAAAAAGTTGGTCAAAATCGTATATTATCTGAGATTTTTGATCACTGAAGTTATTTTCTCATTTAAAAATATATAAAAAAAAATAATTATATAATCAAGACGAGCATTTTAGTAAATTTATCATGATAGAAGAAAGTAAGATTTCACCTAAACTAGATCTAAAAAGTATTAACAAATTTGTCTCTATAAAATAAAAACAAAACAAAACTTACATTAGAATTGACTTGTATAAACATAACAATATAATTATACTACTAAATAAAATAAAACTCAAACTAAAATTCGTTTCTAAATTCGATGAATCATTTAACAATAATATTTTCAATCACTCTGGTCAATATATATATATATATATATATATATTATTTTTTTAATAAATTAACTTTTATTTTTAATATTTTATATTAAATTTTTTGTAGATTTATATATTTTAAATCTAAAATTTAAAATAATCTTTTAAAAAATAAATAAGTCATGAACTTTAATTTAACCATCGAATTCAATAAAAAAACAATAGCTTATATGTCATGTCATTAACCATTTTACTAGTCACCATAGACCACCACATCAGTTACTATAGACTATTACATTAATATCGTGAAATGTCATATTAATATCGTAATGATCATAGATGAAAATTGTTAGTCAATAGATTACATTTGATTTTTTTCTCTAAATTTGAAGATCACATTAAATGTAAAAATGATTTAAGAGGTAACATTAATTTTTTGAAAAAGTATATGTACCTCATCTACCTTTTCGCCTTATAAAAATGACTCTACCAATACTCGAATTCTGCCTTATAAAAATGACTCTACTAACACTCAGGTGGTGTTTGTTTTTACTGTGCAAGCTCTTCAAACCACTTATGTCTGCGTCGCGCAGACCACGCGCAGACATTAGGCTTCGCAGACTGTTTGTTTTTTAGAAGATAGAAGCTCTTCAAACGTCTGCGCGAGCTCTTCTTGGTGCAGACTTGGTTTTATGTCTTCAAAGGTCTTCAAACCTCTTCAAGAACAATTATAAAATAAAGTTATTTATTAAAATAATTTTAAATAATTTAATTAAGGTTATTTATTTTAAAATAATTTATTATAAAATAATTTATTATAAAATAAATTATTATAAAATAATTTATTTTAAATAATTTATTAGTATGATTTGATTTATTTTAAAATATGGATTGATTTATTATTGTAGTTGTATGGATTGATTTATTTTAAATAATTTATTAGTATAGATTGATTTATTTTAAAATATGGATTGATTTATTTTAAAAAATTTATTAGTATGAATTGATTTATTTTAAATAATTTATTTGTATGGATTGATTGATTGATTTATTTTAAAATATGAATTGATTTATTATTGTAGTTGTATGGATTGATTTATTTTAAATAATTTATTAGTATAAATTGATTTATTTTAAAATATAGATTGATTTATTTTAAATAATTTATTAGTATAAATTGATTTATTTTAAATAATTTATTTGTATGGATTGATTTATTTTAAAATATGGATTGATTTATTATTGTAGTTGTATGGATTAATTTATTTTAAATAATTTATTAGTATGGATTGATTTAATTTAAAATATGGATTGATTTATTTTAAATAATTTATTAGTATGGATTGATTTATTTTAAATAATTTATTTGTATGGATTGATTTATTTATTTTAAAATATGGATTGATTTATTATTGTAGTTGTATAGATTGCTTTATTATTGTAGTTTTATAGATTGATTTATTTTAAATAATTTATTAGTATATATTGATTTATTTTAAAATATGGATTGATTTATTTTAAATAATTTATTAGTATAGATTGATTTATTTTAAAATATGGATTGATTTATTTTAAATAATTTATTAATATGGATTGATTTATTTTAAATAATTTATTTGTATGGATTGGTTTATTTTAAAATATGGATTGATTTATTATTGTAGTTGTATGTATTATTTAAATTTCAGTATTGTAAAACTAAAATTATTTAAATATCAGTATTGTAAAACTCTTTTAAGTTTAAAAAATCAGTTTATTTATATTTCAGTTCATTTTAGCAGTCTACAGACGTTAAAAAACAAACAATCTTCTTTTTACAGACTGCAAACTTTTGATCTACCTCTTATACTGCAGATATCTATAAATGTGATCAGTAAACTACAAACTTTTTACTTCAGCAAAAATAAATATCACCTCACATCCAAAACAAGGTTTTAACAGTAACTGAGTGGCGGGTAAAAGCTGTTTGTGTTAATTGCTATATTTCAATTTCACTCTGGCTGTCAGGTATAAGCGTACAAACAAATTGATTCCTCTCTTCTCTTTCTTATCATTAATATATACATATATTCTGTTTTATTATTCTCATTATAATAACCATTGATTCTTTTCTCTTTCCCTTCTACTTAATTTATGCATTCATTAGGCATCTCATTTTCAAGTGATTTTTTCCCAATAAAGGAACTGGGGTTAGGTTGTGTTTATGTAATCTTTCTGCAAATTTTCCTTCAAAACTTCAATTGTTTCTCCTCTTCAATTATTCCTGGTTAATGCTCGGGTCGGTGGCTGTGGGTGTTGAGACTTCATTTCAGCTACTTGGTAAACAATCATGAATTTCGAATGAGAAAGGGAAACGGAAAGATCTGTATATGTTGTGCTTCATTTTATATTATTGTTTTCGTTTCTTTCCCTTTCAAATCTGAGGGGATGCTGATTTCTTCATAAATTTTGATTCACTAAGAAATCTGAATCTGATGTCGGTACTTCCTTGTTCATTTTTCCTTTTTAAATGCTTCTGGATTTGATTATATTATGGAAATGAAGGGGAAACATGTTTTTCTTTCCTCCCTGGTTTGCTGTGATTATTTTGTTTGAAATATAAGTTGATACTGGATTTGCTGATAATAAGATGCTGCTGCCACTCCAATGTGTTTTCTTTAGCTGTTGTTTTTACTATGGAATTGTTCATGTTTTGGATTAAAACTTTAGCATTCCTCCGTCTTTAGCAATTTGTCTATTTGGAGTTCTGGGAAAAAACTGCGGAAATAATAAAGACTGAACTTGATCTAAAACAGTCAACTGGATTCTGTTAGATTGAAGAATTTGTGAATAGGATTATGATAATTTAGAAATTTTATTTTCATTTCTTTTCCTACCTTATATGACCGGTGAAAGTTAGCATGTTTTGTTATTCGGACTTTTTCACTACAATACTTGTATTCAAGATTTGTGTTCGAGACACGTTCAGATATCTTAAGTTCAATCCTCTGGATGTATGGAAACGCTTAGGGAAAACTGAGGATTCCTGTGGAAACACATACTTGTATCCTATGTTTGCCTTAGTCCGGTAACATAGCATATAGACCTTGTTAGATGCTAATGATTGGTCTTTTAGATTAGAAAAATCACTGATTTTGTTGACCTCGGGATACAGCGCAAAATTGAATGATCACATATATGTTGTTCCTGTTATGTTCCTTCATATTGTTCATTAGGATTTGATTTGATTCATTGATTTTGAATGAACAGATATATGTCGCTGAAGAATTTGATGGAAGACAAGCAACTTGACTTTAACCGGCCACTTCTTTCCGTGAGACGCTTCACATCTCAGGTTGCAGGTTCTGAATCTGAGGGCAACAAGAAAACTGATAATTCACTCAACAAAATACCCAGTCCGCCCATTTATAAATCTGAACTGAAATCAGGTCCAATTAGGTACCCAGGGACAGTTCCTTTTGTATGGGAGAAAACCCCAGGTCAACCCAAGGAAGAAAAAAATACACAAGCTCGTGCTCTTGACAAGCCTCCCATTGCCCCAAAGCTTCCACCTGGGAGGGCTTTGAATGATAAGCAGCAGCCTTCAATAAAAGGGTCTGACGCTAAAACTTTTGCATCATGCCAAACAAAAATTGTGCCTTACAATTCTCAAAATGTTTCATCATTGGCTCTCAATGAAACTAAACATGAATGTGCAATTGGAGAAATGGAGGAGACAGGGAGCTCTGGCTCAAAGGATAGTGGTGAGGCATATGTGGATGCACTTGATACACTTTCACGGTCGGAGTCATTCTTCTTGAACTGTAGTGTTAGTGGGCTGAGTGAGTTGGATGGTTCAGATATGAAACCATCTGGAATCTTCTCATCAGATCCACAAACCCGGGATTTCATGATGGGCCGTTTTCTGCCTGCAGCAAAAGCTGTAGCATCTGAAACACCACCATATGCTACTAGGAAACAACCTATAGAACGAGAGCCACCAAGACAGATAAAGGAGCTCGTATCTGTGGATAAGCAGCAACCACATCGTGCGTTCAGTCCAAAGAAGTTCCTACATTATGCACAAGATGATTTGTTGGAAGAAACTGAAGATGATTGCTATAGCCAGTCTGATACTATTCAGCTAATGTCTGTGGCTTATTTCCTCAGTTCTTGCTTAAAAATTTCTTCTGCCTTTTGAACCCAATACCAGGGATGAAAATTCAGGCTCAAAAACCAGTGAAACCTGCATACTCTGTTCGTAGGCGAGAGGCTAAATCTTCATATTTGCGACCATGCTGTGAAACTGAACATGAGGTACCTATGATCATTTCTCCTAAAGGGATTGTCTAAATCTAACCTTTTCTTTTTCTTTTCTTTTGTAAATTAAATATTGATATCATTTCATTTTTCGTAGCATGCTGAGGCTGCTGGCAAGAAAGGCCTAACAGGTATTGCTCAAACAGAGGAGGTTATCGAGGATAAGAATAATCTAGGGAGTGGATCTAGCATGAATAGATATAGAAGTGATTGCCAGAATCCTGTTGGAGCTCCTCTTTTTAGGCATTTGCTGAGTAACAATGCATCATCGTCTCCTAGTCAAATTTCCCAGTTGGTACATCAAGAAAAAGGGTTTCTTGGTATTCCTGAAAAAGCTAAGAATTGCAGGGTTGGTAGCGTTGATCTGTTTAAAAAGAAAGGAAGAATTTTCAAGAATTGCTGGCAAGTGAGAGTATTGGCCAGGAATCAGGTTCGGCAAGCCCTGTTGAGAAAACTCTATATGTAGATTCCGTACACAGGGTCTTATCATCCAATTCAGATGAAACAGCACTAACTCAATGCACGAAGGATGATTTAGAGATCCCAGTTAATCCTGGGGAAATGGAGGAGACTTCTTCAATAGATTCTTCATTAAAGGATTCCAAGCACTTGACTCATGTTGTTGATGAGAATGCAGCAGTGCAGCATAAGACCATGGAGTCTGTGTATCCATATTCTCTTGAAAAACATGCTCCTTACTTGCAAATGGACGCATCAGACGGTACCAGAAGGGATCAAGATTTGATTCAATATTCAAGTAAATTGACATGCCTAGGTGTTACCCACAACAGGAAGAATGATATGGAATGCCCAGTGAAGTTTGTGTTAAGTCGACGAGAGCACATACAGGACCCTAAAACATTTATACACTCAAAAGCAGCTGAGCATGGAAAGGTTGATTCGGAAAGCCACCCACAAATTAAATCAAGTAACAGAGGAAGTTCTAGTGGCAGCAACTTAAAACTTCCACTTGCCCTACCTTTACCAAAAGCTCCATCAGAATCTTGGTTAAAGCGCACATTGCCCGCTGTTTCATCGAGAAATACATCCTCATGGTCTTCTCTTGGTACATGTAACTATACTGAAACTCAGGCCCACACCGCCCCGTCCAGTGATCTCAAGTGGGAAACCATTGTTAGATCTTCTAACGTTCATCACGTCCGTTTGCGGTTTTCAGAGGTAATTTCGGTAACTTCTTAGTCCTTGCTTTGATCTTCTTTATATTCATGTTTACTGTTATTGCATAAGTTCATACATTTACTATGCAATTCCTCGTGTATCAGGATCAACTTCCTCGAATACCAGAAGCTTAGAAGTACAAATACCTCGAGTCAGTAGGTTTCGCCATCTGATTCGGTCGGATCCGTTGCTTTAATGGATTTAAGGACGCATACCTGTCAAAAATTTTTATCTACATGTAGTCTTAAGTATATGATGGAAAGCTGTATAAGTGTAAGTCTACTATCTTACCTCCCCTTACCTCATTACATATAGAAACAAGAGACAATCATTTGCAATAAAAGTTTAAAATGGTTCTTATTTCATGAATGTTATTATTATTATTTTGTACAATAGACTGATATTTCATTAATAAAAGCAAGGAAATGGAGCCCCTCACGATTGTACAAATGATCAATTTGGCTTGTATCATTTTTCTTTTTAGATCACTTTAACTCTTTAATATTTTAATTTTTGGTCAAAATAACTTATGTTAGATGAAAATCGTTAGTTGACTAATCGTCAACATATATTACTGACGTGATATTTTTACGTGACATTTCTACATGTGTTTAATTACTGATATAATATGTGTCACATCAGCTCAAGTGATTACATGACATGTGTCACGTCACTAATTAAACACATGCAAAATTGTCAGAGCAACAACAAATTTTTATAGTTAATCAACTAATAATTTTTATCTGACAAAGTTAATTTTGACAAAAAAATATAATGGTAACTTTTATCATTTTTTTATATTTAATTTTTATCATTATATTCTACCTAATAAGGGGCCAACAGACCCTTGGTCATATTAGGGAAATTTCAATTTTTGGACATTAGTGAAAATACGTGTTACACCCCCTCTGTTTGAAGCTTTAAACAGATCAATAAAATAATTGGAGGCAACCTTAAGAATGCCTTCAATAATCGAAATCTAATAACAAAATAATTTATTTTTGTTTTAATTAAAAATATCATATACAAATTGATTTAATGTAACATCTCGAAAGTCGGTCTAGAATTTTTTTAACGTTTGATGATCAAATTTTTTTTTGTATGTTTATTTTAGTATTTGATAATTCCAAGAATTTGATTAATTTTGTTTTGTATGTTGGATTAAATAATAATTGATTAGGATAAAAGTTTAGTGATTAAAATGAAATAGATGAAGAATTTGAAAACTTTAGTAAACAAGATAAAAGTTAGATGCTAAAGTGAACGCAAGGGAAAAGTTGAACGACTTAAGGATTAATTAGACAACATGATGATTTTCAAGAGGTGCATAGTTGAGCGACTAAAAGTATAGTTTTACCAACTTTAAATTAATGAATAGACTACTAACTTGTCATTTCATTCATTTTGGTATAATTAGAATATCTCTTTAATTTCTTTGATTTCAGTTCAAATTAAGCAAACCAAATGATGAAGGCTTCCTCCACCGGTTATATGTAGTGCTAGGGAAGCTAGAGAGCTCTCGTCTTCAACCTTCAAAGTGTTTGAAACCCTAAATCAAGTTAAACCATACTTTCTCTCTCTAAAGATTAAAAACCTTCCTCTCACTCAAATTAGAAACTGAATATTGATGAGGTTGTCAAAACCATAAGTTGCTAGTTTTTAGGTTAAAGATTATAGAAAAATGTTTAATTTATGTTTTATAAACCTTTATTATAATTTTAAATATTTTTTAATAAAAAAGGATAAACTGCGCGTTTAGTACCTAAGCTATATTTTTGGAATGTTTAAACACTTACACTTTCATTTTTTTCTAAATCATACCTAACGTTTAATTTTTGTTTCATTTTAGTACCCCGCCATTAAACCCTTAACGAATGTGCTGATGTGGCATAGTTTTGGTGGACAGGTGACCAATCTGAATGTTGGACCATGAGAGAATGACGAGTCGACCAACATAATCTAATTTCAGGCCCATCGAACAGTGGACCGTGGAGATCGAAGGATGAAGAAATTGAAAAGTCCGTCGTTAATTTGTGGAGATTGAGGCATTTTCCAGTGAAATGGAGGTAAGAATCACATTTATAGGGTTGCAAAGGTATAAGCGGAAAGTTTAGGCTTCACCGATTGACGAATGAGATCACCGACGATTGTAGACGCAACGGCCGATAAATCCTGTTTGTTAAATTTTTAGCAGCAAGGTACCAATTATGGATAACTTTTTAATCCCTATGATATAAAACATCATGAACTAGCCATTAAAATATATGATAATACATTTATCCTTAAATCGTTGTGATCTTAATTCTAAAAAAAATTCAAGCATCAATCATTTTAACCTCACTTTCAAAGTTTTCAATCATCAACCATTTTAAATTTAATTCTAAAAATATGTATTAATTATTTTAATTTTAATTATAAAAAAAATGAACCATCAATATTATATCAATTAATTCTTATTTTAAAAATAATAATTAAGTAATTAATCATTTTGTAAGGCCAAATTTTAAAAGTAATTAATCAATTTATAACAAAAACGAAAGTTTTGTAAGAAAAAAAGAAAGTTACTCATAGATTACCCTAAAATAAAAAATCATTTATTACAAAACTTAAAGCCGTATATTATATTCTCCATACAAAGTAATTTATGGAAATAATTAGCAAAAATATTTATAGTTGACAATTTTCAATCAAATTCGTTTTACAAATTAGAATTCCTGTAAATAAAATCAAGTTGCCCATTAAATGATTAGAAAGATGACAACATTGTTCTACTTCTAGCATGTAATGACATAGGGGTTTATCTCGTCTTTCATCCCTCTATTTACATATCAAATACCACTAGTATCCTAATTTCACTTGAAGTCTTCCATGTTTCATCACCATTACAAACTAGTCCATTTCAAATTTGATATATGTATGTATGTATGTATGTATAAATTAAACATACCATTATCATACATATAAAAGGAAGGTAAAGATGAGCGAATCCCCAAGCAAAAAGATGGTGGTCACTGTTTGCAAGGCAACTCAGGACATGTCATGAATCCACATAATGATGTTCAATGTCTTTCCAGTTTAAATACCTGCAAAAAAAAGCTACATCATCAATGGATAATATGGCGATCGAACCAAGACGTTCGATCGAAGTTCTTCGTATATACGGGTGTTAGATGCTAAAACAACTTACTTTTGGAGGCAGCATTTAACCAATGAGGACATAACCTTCACCAGAAGGAAGTATACTTGCAGTTGTAGGGGGCTTAATAGCTCAAGCAACGCTCTTTCGGACCTGCGCATGAGATTCTGTCTCCTTTTAAAACATCCTAACCAGCTCCTCCAGCTCTAATTTTCTCACCTCAACATCCTCACAATGATTGGTTTCTTCAGCCCCAGATAGAGCAGACCAATGGAAATTAAAGCTACTCCTAGACACACGAGGATACCAGAAAATATAAGAAATGCATACGGGGAATTGTCGTTGTTTCCAGGTATTCCATCCACATTGATCCTGAAAAGTCCGGTGATGACAGAAAGAATAAGGCCACAGCCACCAAAGATTCCTAAATTATGTGACACGGTGAGACTTCTATCCTGAAAATAATATGGCCATGTTTTGGAAAAGCTTCGAGCAAGTAGAAAAAGTAATAACCGGATAGAGCCTAGTATTGTGACAAAAAGACCAAATTTGAATCTAGTCATGAGAGGTTAACCTGTAACCATGCGCGAACTGTACTCTGCATGACGTCTTGAATTGTAAATAAGCGACCGCGAACCGCCTCTTGCTCTGAAATCATTTCCCTCGTACTCTTTCTCACTCCATTGAGCAATACCCTTGTTGCATTCCCTCTCAAATGTTGAAGAAGCTCAAACACAATCTCTTCTCTTGCATGGAGACACCATTTCACTCTTATGACCTGCAGTACAGATGGTTCTTAACATCTTCAAGAATCCTATTCTAGACTTGATCACCAGTCCAAAATAGAAGATTGATTTACCTGCGTCGACAACCTTCTGATCTCCTGGTTCAGAATTATTGTGAAAAGATGCAGATCCTCGTGGTTCCTCCTGTTGATGTAATAAGTATTGGTTAAATATGTCAAGCAAAGGAAAATGACTGAAGTCGGTATGAATAAGAAACTCATTTGGTTAACAAGATAAATAATCCAATATGCATGGAAACACCTGTTCATAAACTTCAACTCAATTTCATCTGCTTCACCAAAAATTTCTTTCCGAAACAACCTAAGATGTAAAATTTGAAGAAAAAATGTCATTTTGGATTAGAGTAGAAGGGATAAAGGAATGGCGGAACATATGATTGTCGATCATTATATTATTTAAGAATGATGATAAACTCTAATTCCATGAGATCCATAAATTGAAATTTATTAACCTGTCATCCCATCTTGCGAGGCGACAAGTGAGATGTGCTATAACCTCATGGATAGTTCTTGGGATATTAGTGCCTCCAGAAATAAGCATTTCCTGAAATCACTGCACTTCTAAGCATCGCAAGCATTTTACGAACTTTAGTTTATGAATATTTGCAGGGTACAGGAACGAACCTGAACTTCTGCAATACCTAAGACATTGATGTTTGATGCAGACCCTTTGACATGCAATGCTGTTATTAAAAAGTTTTGTGCATGCCATGATCTTAGAACAATTGGGATGTCATCTTCTTCTGCTAGAGGATCACCAGCTGACTGTCCCAATAGCTCAAATAACAGTCCACCAGCAACAATGACAGGAACCTGTAGATATACATGAAGCACATAATTGCATTAAATTTGACATAAGGTTTGGACTAGTCAGACTTAAAATATGAAATAAGAAGCCTAAATTATATAGTTTGGTGGATAAAATTGAGAATCCTGCTTTACTTCGAGGGCATAGATTTCACCTGGATTGCGCTAAACGTGTTAAGGAGGATGCTAACTTCATTCAAGGAAGTCTCAACTTGACCCGATGCATATGATAAAGAAACAAGCTGAATGTAGACCTTAATATAGTGAGTGTACCTCATAAAATAGGTACTTCATACGCTCGCTTATCAGCCTACTTTCATCTCGCAAAGCAACACTTATAGCAGGATGCAGCCAGGGAGCTGTACTTAACCATGCATTTATCGCTGGGTGATCTGCCGCAACATGACACCACCAAGTCGGACCAGATGGCCTTTCCCAGTAAGGAGCTGCTAGATCTGCAATAGTCACTTCATCTTCATTCTCTGACAGCTCAATTGGCTGAGAGTCCCATCCACCATCAACTTGCAGCATCTGGACCAGTTCATAAACTCTGCCCCAACCAATCGGTTTCCAATACGATCTTGGGAACTCTTCCCCGGGACTGAGATTTCTGGTACAAGGGTTTTCATATGATGCATCTTTAACTGTTACTGCAGACTCTTTCAAGATCGGGAAGTAAGCTATATTGTTAGAACTGGCATTTTCGATCAAAGAGTTTTCGGGTTCATATGCATAGATCCGCCTTCTAGAAGCTTCTTTCGAACCATATTGTGCAGACCAGAGCTTTGCAGGGGATTTCTGCTGACCTGTTTTACCTTGGCCTTCAACATATTCAAAAGCACAAATAAGTCCATCTGTCCAAAGATCACTTCCTATTGCATCATTTCGACTTTGAAGATTCTTTTGATAATCTTGTTTCTTCATTCCATTTCTCATGGAAGCTGAATAGCCATTGCCTGTTTTATTCATCTTGCATTCTCAACTCTGCAAAAACAAGTTAGCATTCCATTAGATGATCAGTTAATCATGCATTTAATCGCACCGTATTTCCTCAAAGAACACTGTCAGTCACTCCTTTTTTGATCAGAATTCAATGTCCAGTGACTTCATTCATTCATACGTACATACATTATTGATAACGTCAGTATACAAGTTTCTTCTAAATCTTTTCATATATTTGAAATCTGATAACGGATTGAAATAAGCATCAGACAAACATTTTTGAGAAAATAAAGAATCTGGGTAACAAGATATACCCATATCAATTACACAGGTAGACTTCCTGGTATCATGAATACAAGGACGAAAATCAAACACAGAGCAGATTATACACAAAGAACAGTAATCAACTGAAGAAAGTAAACGATACCCTTTTTAAAAAATACAAACTAAATAACATGAATGAAAAAACAACAACAACATTTATCAATCTAAAAAGCAAACCTGAAGCTCTGTATCAATGGAGAGATCCCTTTTTATTTTCTTTTGTGACGAATACGAAGAAGAAGAAGAAAGTACAGTAATGGGGTTTAGTTAAGCTTATTTAAATGCACCGCTGGGAAAGAAGTGGTGGTGTGGTTGACGGCTTGCTTGCTTGGCTACCATTTTTGGCAACACTTTTGAGTTACAAATAGGCACCACTTCAAACAATATTTTTGTTCATCCTTCACACGTGGTCATGTTCCCCTTTATATAATTTTATCAATATAATATTGATTTTAGAGTTAATTTCATCAACATTCTTCAATTATGACCCTCATTTTAAATTCATCCATAAAGTTTTAAAAATTCCAATTTCATCCTCAAATTATGATTAGCATTCTAAATTAGTCCTCAAACTTTTAAACATTACAATTTCATTCATAAACTATGTTTCTCTTTCTAAATTGGTCCCTAAGCTTTTAAATATTTTAATTTCATCTCAAATTGTTTGTATATGCTAATTATATCTCGTATTAATAAAATCGTTAGGTGTTATATTATTCCAGCCACCTATGACGAATATAGAAAAGTTTTATTAGGTGGGTCAACATAAATATAATAAAAAAATTATCTAACATAATTCATATATTTTTCAATTTAAAAATATAATAATTACATGTATTTAAACTGATTCTAGGAAAATATACTATCAATTAGGGGGTGTTTGGTTCAAGGAATGTGGGATTCCCATGGGATGGGAATCCCACATTCCCATGTTTGGTTGACTGGGAATCTCATTCCCGGTAATATTTTATTACCAATAGTAGATTTTTTGGGGTATATTACCGGGAATGTCATTACCTCCCTTCCCTTAGGTATTGTAACATTACCGGCGTTTTGGACTAAAATGCCCTTAAATTTTTATTTTTTTTCAAAAATATCCTTCTTCTGTCATTGAATAATAAAAATTCTACGAATGTTAAATTACAAATTTATCCTTAAATTATTTTAGATTTACAAAAAAAGTCTATAATTAAAATTTTATATGAAGTTTAGGGGTTAAATTTTTTTTACCCTTTCATTAAACATTTTTTATATTTTTAATTTTGTAAAAAATTATATAATATTATGAATTTAATTTTTTAAAGAAAATATATAAATATTTTACAATTTGTAATATTATACAAATATATAATAAGGACAATTTGGTCAAATATACATTCCAATAATCTTTTATTCCTTTGACCAAACACGGTAATCTTACATTCCTGCTAAACCAACCAAACACAAAATACAACATTCCCAGTAATCCTATTCCCTGGTAATCTTTTATTCCCACTGGTAATCTTACATTCCGTGAACCAAACGCACCCTTAGGCCAATATAATTTTTAATATAATTTAAACATATTTTTATTTAAATTATATTTTTTTTATTTTTTGGGAAATGGGGTGGGTTATAGTCTAAGTAGGCCCATATCTAAATACACCTTTGTTAGTCACATAAGCCGAGAGTGCTGCCAACTAAGAGCACTTTCGATAAGGCATGATTAGTTGAAAGTGCCTTCAGCCTAGATGACCGAAATATATATTTATCTCATAATATTGCCAACCAGTTAGCTAAGCTAAGGTTTGTATTTGGAATTGTTAATATAATTTGAAAATTAATTAAATCACCAATATCTTTAATCAAGAGAATGCTTAAGCCAAAAATGTTTTTTTAATATAAAAGAGGTCATAACTATAATTATTATACAAGTACAAAAGAGATTGTAATACTTTTTAAAAGATTAAATTATTAAAATTGATTTATTGGTAGAGTGGTCAAAGATATTCATATTGTCCTGTCTAACGTGAATTCGAACCTTGACGTTTTCCCTGAGTAACACAGACTTGATGGATTCTATTGGTAGTATCTAGGCAGCAGCAAATGAGGCATGCGATGGTGATGAAAATGGATTGCGTGGGATTCATTTTGGAGGCGGAGACAGTTGAAGGCACAGCACCAAAACATTTGAACCGTTTGCAATGGTAGTGTCTAAGATGGAAGAAGTTGTGCTGCAATTTTCACCATTGGCACTGCCTTACTTTAAACTTAATTAATTGGATGACAAAAGCAAACCAAAAAGTAGAGTGAAAGTTTACCTTGTGGATTCATACTGACATGTCCCTCTACCTGAAATCAATGTCCAAGGATGAGTAAAACCCCACATTCTATTTGTAACTTTAGCAAAGTGACAAGTCTTACTTGGATCAGTGCCGGTAGTAACCGCCGTTCCTCCAAAATTACAGCTGCTAGGAATCGGATTCTTCTGAAAATAGCTGTTAAACGCATAAGAAGCATGAGCACGAACGGTGTCCGGATTGTAACAGCTTCCACCAGGTTGAATTGCTCTACAGTCGGCTCCACCATGCCCACATGCATAGTCCAGTGCAACTTGTAATGCAGTCTCTGATGCACTTTGGCTAGCCACACACCAGCTGGCACCCGGAGTCATCATCGTTGTCGGAACTGTCACCGGTGACATGGTCACCGGAGACATCGAATGAGGGTTCAATACTGGACTGGATGGAGTAGGTACTGTTGTTAGTGGAGTTGTAATGTCCTTTTGGTCACTGGAAATCCCAACCTTCCTTGTATCACTTGGACCTTAATCAGGAATTAAAATTATAAATATTAAATCTCCTCCTTATTTTCTGGTAACTATAGACTTATAGCTAATCATATAATCAAATGAATTGAGGAAAAAAAGACAATAGTGGAAAAAACCAGCAGATGAAGAAGAAGTCACCTGGAAAGAAGAAGATGCAGTAGAAGAGGAATATGTTAGTGCTAATCTCCATGCTATGTATATTTCTCTATTTTTGGGACATAGAAAGCAAGGGCTGTAATAAACTCAGAGAATCATCAATGGTTCTATGAAAAAGAGAGATTTTTTTGGAATTTAGTTTTTGTTGAGTGATGACAGTAATGATGGCAGTGATGTGTGCATTTCTGCCTTTCACTTTTTCTTAAAAAGTAGGATTATAGTACTTAGAAAATTATGAACCACACGACTACATAATACATATATATATATATTTAGATTAAATTTAATTGCATAGTGGGTACTCAAAACTATGACTTCATTCTAAATTGATCTTTAAAGTTTATAACATTCTTTATCAGTATTCAAACTATGACCCAGTTTTAAATTAGTCTCTAAACTATATTCTATTAATTGCATAGAGAGCAACCCATGCTCACACGCCTATTCGACTTTCAAGAAATGGCACTGCGATTTTACTTCTCTTTTCCGCAGATGATTTAATTCTATATATCAAGGCTACTGAGGCTCAGATAGAGATAATGGATCTTATTCTATCGAAGTTTGGTAAATTCTCAGGATATCGGATTAGTAGAAAGAAATCTCAAATATTCTTCTCTCTCGACGTGCCACATGATTTGCGAGCCTCCATTGAGGCCAGTCTTGGGTTCAAATTGTGGATTCATTTGGGAAGTATCTTGGTGTTCCTGTCATTAATAAACATGCACGATGTTTAGATTATGACTTGGTCTTGGAAAAGATGAGGACTAAGCTCAATGGATGGTTTGCTCGCTCTCTTTCGTTAGCAGGACGTATTACCCCTATAAAGTCCGTTTTGGTCGTCATTCCTATCTATTTCATGCATTCATGCCAACTCCCTAAAAAGATTTGTAGTGACATTGAGTCTATTATTATTTGTCATTTCATTTGAGATTCGATGTTTAATGTTCGAAAAGTGCCCCTCGTCAAATGGGATTCCTTGTGTCAGCCCATTGATAGGGGAGGGCTTGGTTTCTTCAAAATCTATGAGCAAAATGTGGCTTTCATCATGAAAATTGGAAACACCTAGTTACTCGGCCTGATTCTCTTGGATCACTTTGCTCCATGAGAAATATAAAGTGATAGGGTTATGTCCCTTATCTATCAGACGTGCGAACTACTCCCCCTTGCAGCGCGCCCCTATTTCTGTGTGAGAAGATCTGCGACAAAACATAACTTGGTCAGTTGAAAATGGGTTAGGAGTACGTCTTTGGGATGATATATGGGTGCCGCAACTTGGCCCTTTGCGTCGCTATGCCCTTCGCTCTACAATCATAGATGAGAATGTTAGCATTACTGATCTTGTCACCTCAGAAGGATTATGGAACATTGAGGCTCTTGATTCATTGTTGACGCGCAATGCTCTACCTTACAACTTAGGCATTCGACCTCCAGTCAACATCGACATGGCTGATTCTTGCATGTGGAGATGGGGTCTGAAGTACTAATTTGGCTTACCACTCCCTAGTTGAACACAACTGGGATGTTCGATCTCCAGTTTGAGAGTCCTGGCATCTTCAAGTTCCGCGGCGCATATGACGCTTTCTTTGGACAACTTTCGTCAAAAACTCATGACGAATCTCGAATGAGTTAAACGTATTTTTGTGAGTCTTACCGATGATCCGTCTTGCATGAATTGCAATGCCCCGCAAGAGTCCACAATCCATGTGCTCCGAGATTGTCCTCAAGCTCATTCCCTATGGGATCGCATTGTTCCGTCGACTCGTGCGATTGAATTCTTTTCATCGGATATTGAGAGATGACTAAGTTCTAATATTCTTGATAACAGCATTGTGAGGGAGCTCTATGTTCCTTGGTGCCTACTTTTCTCTTCTCTCGCTTGGCAGATATGGAAAAAAAGCAACGACCAAGTTTTTACGGCTTCTTGTCGCCCTCAACGCTCGGTCTTTTCTCATAGTACTGCATGGGCGAAGCTCTTCTATGGCTGTAAAAAAGTTGTAGATCCCTTGCTTGAGAGAGTAATTGTGTCGTTTCAATGGCAAAGACCGCCCGTTGGCTGGTATTGCCTTAATGCAGATGGTGCTCTCTTCGGTGCTTCAAATTCTGTTTCTATTGGAGGTGCCATTGGGAACTCCGCTGGTAATTAGTTAGTTTCCACAGAACTGTAGTGTAACAACCCAACCCGGATACGAATCCGAGATATCACATTGACTATTCAAATTTTTTTAAAACTTATAGAAATAATGAAAATTCAAACTTTCGTAAAAAATAAAGTTAACCATTTACATAAGTATCATCAAAATATTACAAAACTGACCAGAGCATACGTAAATCACAATTTGTTTACATGCCAACACCTTTAATACAACAAAAGACATACTGTGTAATTTACTTATGATCTGATCTTCAAGTGTAGATATGTTGTTCTGCAGATCCTATGTCTGATCCTCTTGTTTCTCAATACCTACGTGTAAAAAAAAACTTACATGCTAAATAGACTTAGTGGGACATAAAAAAACATAATAATATATTTCCTATAAATATGAACATGTAATGTAATTATTCAAATAAAATCATAATTATCATATCACATATGATTTATTGTAAACAATAATAACATGATAGCACATAATAATGTAAACACTTTTTATATCTTTTATAGGCCCATGTACACTACTGAGGACTTAATGTATGTGAGTACATTGAGGTTGTCCACATATGCTATCATCACAACTCGTATAAGAATCCACTAAGTGGCATGTGAAATATGTCCCGAAAGACCTCGTGTATGTCCCAAAGGACCTATATATATGTCCCGAAAGACCTATGTAACCCTTGACTCTTGGCATGCCAACTATACCTATAACTCTTATATCACATAACATGGGCATTATCATTATGCTTTATATATTCATATAATCATTACTTCACCACATATTCATATACTCATGTCATTCATCTTATAATCATATATGTCTTATCTTTTGTCACATATCACATGTACATATAGCATGTTTCAAATCATATAAACATATATATCTTATGCATGTGTTTATAATTATCATAATATATATATATATATATATATATATATATACATATATATGCATGTTCATATCTATTGTACAATGAAAACCTACATAGGAAATAGACTTATCACAAGTCTGCTTTCCATTGAATTACACCTATAATATGCACTCACCTTAACCTCACTTAATTCCAAATCCACTTCTATGATTTTATCTCTTTGGATTGATCCTAACTCTGCAGTCGTTTCGGAACTTGCTTGTACTCGATATCTACACAATCATACATTTTATATACATATCAGCAATCTAAACATCATAATTCGATCCTAATAATCTTAAGCTAAAAGAAAGGCTTTATATAATTTTCTACTTGAGTAGTATCGATACCCTCCTCAACGGTATCAATATATCACTAGCTGTGGTATCGATACCAAGCCGAGGTATCGATATCCATTTTCGATTATGTAATCCTTATTTCAAAAATTATACCGATACTGACCTTATGGTATCAGTACCCTTGGTATCGATACTACCTTCTCAGGTATCGATGCTCCATGAATAACTTTATCAAATTCAGGCTTATGGTATCGATACTTATCAAATTCAGGCTTATGGTATCAATACTGTTCAACTAGTATCGACCCTAAACCAAAAATCACTATTTTACTATTAAAGTATCGGTATTGGATGAAGAAGTATCTATACTCATAACCAAACTTTCACTTTTTAAACCCGAAAATTTACCCATATCAGCTCAAATCCTTCATGTCTTATTCTCTTTCATACTCTTAACTCAAGTACACATACTCAAACTAATTTCTATTCATCTAACACATCTTTATCTTCAAAATCTCCTCCTATATCTTGAAATTAAGAATCCTACCAAATTTCCAACATGTTCTAATTTCAATTCTAACACTTCATACTTCTTAATTTAACTGACGACAAGTCAAATTTAGTTTCAAATTCTACTTATCAACTCTTTTCTAAGATTTCACTTATAAACCCCTTATCTTTAATCATTCCTAACTTCTTTGTCTTTTGATTTTAAGATTACTTAAACTTTCCTTAAGCTTAAGTATCATCTAAGGATCATAAACCAAACTTAAATTCAATTCAAAATCAACTAACAAGAAGACTCACCTTGTTATGGTAGCTCACGACTGAAGAGAAAGAAGAGTGAACAAGAGTTCTCTCAAAACTTTCTTTTTCCTTTAATTCTTCAACTCCACGTGTATATATCCTTACCACAATATATTTTTAATTCATCTCTAGATCAAATGACCATTTTGCCCTTTCATTCATCCTTTTTTCTATTTAGTCCTATATAAAATTTTCCATATAAGTCCTTGAATTGTTCAATTTATATACTTTAGTCAATAAATTTTGAAATTTTATAATTTAGTCACTAACCCGGTATTGAGGATGTTACATGTAGGCACCACAACACCTCTACAAACTGAACTTTGGGTTATGTTCATCGATTTGGAAGTTGCTTGGACTCATGGCTTCGAGTTGCTCTCTGTTCAATCTGACAGTTATGATGTGGTGAAGCTTGTAACTGATCCTCACTGTTCGACGAGTACCCATCCGTTGGTGCGTTCGATTCATCAGATACGCCACTGGCGAAGCCAACATGCATTAAGGGGTGTCAATTGACACCCCAAAAGTGTCTAAACTTTTATTTTAGCCCATATAAATTATATATATAATATAAAAAAAAAATGACACTCCTTTTAAAAATGTTTTGATACCCTTTAAAAAAAGAAATTGATCCTATATTTTAAAAAATATTTAACAATAAAAAAAATTAAAATTCAATTTTTATATAATTTCTAAATTTGACGTTTTAAAATATTTCTTCCAACTCCACCCTGAGATACGCCAACGATGTTGGATGACGAAGGTCATCTGAGTTCCCAGAAAAACTAATATGCTTGGTAACGGAATTGCTAAGCTTTGCTTGCCTTTGCCGAATGAGACTCTGATTATTTCTTCGCCTCCATCGTCCCTACAAAATATTCTTAACCGTGATGTGATGGATCCCCTTACAGTAAAATAACCACGGTTTAGTTCCATGGCTTAGGCCTTTAATTCAAAATAATGATAAAAGATCATTAAAATATATTTATTACATTTATTTTTTTAGACATATTAATTATAACATTAATTAAAATAATTGGGTTAATATGACATTTGTTACCTAAGTTTGGTTAACACAAATACAAATGATTGGGATAATATACCATTTATAGTCTAAATTTGGTTAACATTAATGTTATAATTATATTTCAATTAATTTTATAATTTAATAATAATATATCTTTATAAAATAAATATGAAAACTGTAATCAAATATGAAAAGTATAAACTCCAAGATTAAGAAAACCTATAATAATAAAATATCAATCTAAATAATTATTTTTACTATTCAAGTAGTAATATTCTTGGTATATTTCCTTATCATTCTTTTATCTCTTAAATATTTAGTTTTTATATATTACAAAAATAATAATTATCCATTAACATAGCCATTAAGTTTGCATAGGGAAAGTTTAATTTTTTAATCTAATTTATGAATATATAATTATTTTTTCTTTTGAAGATGATAAAGATCGACTTAATGTCCAACCTAATAAATACTTTTTAATAAATATATGTGTGTTTTGTCAAAAATAGTATGGATTAGATTAGCTTTTACCCCACCCCTAAAAAAGTTATATAAACTTATTACATATAATAATAAATCATTTCATAAATAAAAAAATTGGGCCAACCTAGAAAAAGGTTTTTTTTTTCTTCAAAAAACCCTATTTATTTTTATTTGTTTCTTATTTAAACGCATTCAGTTGAAGAATTAATGAAAATTTTACATAAATTTATTTTGATAAATATAAAATTAATTTTGTTTGTGTCTTTTGACTTTATTATAATGTTTTTCCCTTATAAACTTCTAATATTTTATATTAACACACACACACATATATATATATATTTGGGTCAAATAAGCATAAAGATAAGGTTGGCCTGGGAAATAAATAATGGAAAATAAAGAGGTCGAACAATAAAATTAAAAGAAGGCTTTTTTTTGACAATTTGTCTCTTAAAATATGCCAATAGGAAATATCAATTATATTAAATTAATATTATATTAAATGTAACATTAATTGCATTTTCTTTTATTTTTATTTCAATAAAAATGTCGTGTCAATGTGGATGTGGTTAAAATATTATGTGATCTGTTTTTATTCGTTTATAATTTTTTTATTTAATATAATATTATAATTAAAATTATTAATAAATATATTTTATTATTTTAATAATTAATATTTTTATTAAAATATTGTATTAATATTCAATACATAAAATAATATTATTTTTAATATTTATATTTTAAGGAGAAAATTTTAGAAAATAACTTTAGATAAATAATATGTAAGTTACACTATAGAAAATACAAAAATAAATTTATTAACTAAGAAAATAAATTATATTGATCAATATATTTTTGGTAATCTATAAACCGAAAATAAAAAAAATTATTCTGAAAATGTTTTACGAAAATATTAAATATTAAATTGGACATAGATATAAATACTAAATTTGAAAAATAGATACCAACAATTAATTAATATAGCGGGATAAAACATTAGATTCTTTAAATAAGATCGTAAATTTTAATCCAAATGTTTGAAAATAGAGTAAAATAAATTGGAATAGTCGTCTTTGTCTCTACCGCACTTAATCCGAAATATCCGATATATAAATCGCAAACAGATTATAAAAAAATGGAAAAATAGATATATATTTTAGAAGTCAAATAGTCAATAAAGCCAAAACCTTAAAGAAAGACTTCTGAACAGCAACAGCTTCATCTCAAATCCAACCGCCTCGTATTTTGACGTGAACTTCAAGTTCAAACCTTCAAAAGCTTCATTCAAACTACACAGAAACTTCATTTTCTTCTATTTTCCTTTTATTTCACACTCATATTTCTGGATTTCTCTTTGCTTTCCTCGAATCTTTCTCCCTATAGACTTTATCTTCTCTTCCCTTTATTTTTCATTGCACTCGTCAACTTTTCTCTTATTCTTTCTTTATACCAAACCACATCCCAAGGTTCTTTCAAAAAGAATACTAAAAAGATCCATCAACAATTCAGGTTTTTAGCTATATCTATATATATATATACACACACATATCAGTCTGTGTTTTCATTGATTCTTTGTTTGTTTACATGTATAGGATGTTTACTTGCTTGCTTAGGACTGCTTAGTTTCAGCTTTCTTTTTTTCTCGCTTCATCTTTGTTGTTAATGATATCTACATATATGTATCAATCTGGTTTGAAGTTTGATCATTTTTTCTCAGGCGGGTTCTTTTTAGTTTTGTTTGTATGTTATTCTTTCTGTGATGGCTGATGCATTGACCATTTCTTCCATGACCCATGTTGCTTCCTTTTTTGACTTTGTCCTGGTCTTGAATGATATTTTTGACTGGAATTGTGGCTTAAAATTTTATTTTGTTAATTAGATGATTTGTTTTTGTTTAATTCTATTTTCTTATGTGATTAAGAAGAAAAGAAACAGTGTTTTGATTAATTTTATTACATGGCAAGGTAGTTTCAGACAAAGATGAAGAAATGGTTGGGAAGTGTCTTAATGGGGTCTTTCATTGTGGTCTTGATATTAAGATATAATGTGATGATCAAGGTCCCTTTTGCAAATAACTCCCTTCGAAGTAGTATCAACATCAACGTGACCGATCCTCCTCTTAAATGGGTTCAACAACCTGCCGTTTCTCCGACTGTTCATAGTTCGGAATCCGTTAATCAAGTCGTTTTTGCAGACAAGTTGGTTTCGGGACTGTTCGTCGACAGGAACTTCTCTAATGAAGTTCAAAGTTCTTTGTTAACATGGAATGAGATGAAGCATATAGTTAACTATAGCAAAGGGCTATCAAATGCATTAGAGGCCGTTCGAGAAGCTCGGATTGCGTGGGAAAATCTTATGGATATTGTTGCAAAGAAGCAGCAAATCGAGGCGAATGAAAGTGCAGTTGATCATAAGGGGAAACAATGCCCCTACTTCTTAAGTAAAATGGATGATGCAGATTTTGGGGATAAAGGTTATAAGCTAAGAATCCCTTGTGGCCTAATTCAAGGTTCTGCAATCACTATCATTGGTATTCCAGATGGTCTTTCGGGAAGCTTCAGGATCGATTTAACAGCGGAATCAGTTCAGGAAAAGCCGGACCCTCCTATCGTTTTGCATTACAATGTGCGTCTCCAAGGTGATAAGGTTACTGAGGATCCTGTTATTGTTCAGAACACATGGACTGCTGCTCATGATTGGGGCGAGGAAGAGCGGTGCCCCTCTTCAACTGTAGGAAACAATAAGAAAGGTACTTCTCCAGCTCTATGACAAAGTTCTGAATCTTAGCTACATAGGTTTACTCTATTCTTTTTGCTTGATATGCAGAGGATGATTTGAAACAATGCAGTGAAAAGGTCGGGAAAATCGAAAACTGGAGGCCTGTAACCAATGAATCCTCAGGCATTTCTCTATGGTCATCTAGGGTTGAAAACAGAAATCGAAGCAGGCCTTACTTTCCATTCAAGTTAGGATATTTATCCGTCATGACACTTCGGGTGGGAGAAGAAGGATTTCATATGACCGTCGACGGAAAGCATATAACATCGTTCGCATACCGTGAAGTATTTTCTTAACACTTAATTTTCTATATTTTTACACCTTTAAGGTGCCATTTCCTAACTCTTCTAATCTTATAGGGTTTAGAACCATGGCTTGTGAATGAAGTAAAGATATTTGGTGATATAAAGTTAACATCTGTGTTAGCTAGTGGGTTACCTGCATCTGAGGACTTGAAGCATATCAATGATTTGGATGCTTTGAGAGCTGTTCCTCTCAAACCACACCATCCATTAGACCTATTTATCGGTGTCTTTTCAACGGCAAACAACTTTAAGCGGCGGATGGCCGTTAGAAGGACTTGGATGCAGTATCCTGCAGTAAAGTCTGCAACGGTCGCAGTCCGCTTTTTCGCCGGTCTAGTATGTTCCATTAATTTGATTATCAGTATATGAATATTGTCTTTAATAACACAAAATGTATACTTAAATTCCTTTTCCATATAACATTGCAGCACAAGAACCAGATAGTGAATGAGGAACTTTGGAGTGAGATAAAAACGTATGGAGACATTCAATTGATGCCTTTTGTAGATTACTATGGTCTTATAACATGGAAGACTGTAGCAATATGCATTTTTGGGGTAAGCTTTTGAGTCTTAAGTTTAAAAATGAAAACCCTGTTTTACTCATGGGATTTTACCTAGTTGGGTAAGCATTATTTTGTGTTTTTTTAACAGACAGAGGTGGTTTCGGCCAACTATGTGATGAAAACTGACGATGACGCCTTTGTTCGAGTCGACGAAGTGTTGGCTACTATACGCAAAGAAAATGTGAGGAATGGGCTACTTTATGGTCTCATAAACTATGATGCTCAGCCTCATAGGAATGCTGATAGTAAATGGTATATCAGTCCTGAGGTAATTTTTATCTGCAGAATCTTATTCGTTTTTTGTTATTCGGATTCGGGTGTGAGTCTAAACTGCTCTTGTGTTTGCTTATATGAAGGAATATCCTGAAAAGAAATACCCTCCCTGGGCACATGGCCCTGGTTATGTGGTCTCAAATGACATAGCTAAAGCTGTCTATACAAAGCACAAAGAAGGATCTTTACGAGTAAGTTTCTTCCCCCAAACTGATATGTATGTATGTATGTATGTATATATATATGTATGTACGTATGAGTTAATAAATGTTTATACGTGGAAACAGATGATTAAGCTGGAGGATGTAGCAATGGGGATATGGATAGCAGAGATGAAAAGGGAAGGATTGAGAGTGAATTACATGAATGAAAAGCGGGTTTACAATGAAGGGTGCAATGATGGTTTTGTTGTAGCTCATTACCAAAGCCCCAGAGAGATGCTTTGCCTATGGCACAAGTTGAAGGATGAGGATATTGCTAAATGCTGCAATTGATAAGAGATGCGAGTATCGGGTACAAATACATTTGATTTTTTTTTTTATAAGTTTTTCATGTATTTAAGTGTCCGAGGTTATATCGGACAGGAGATGCAAAAAACTTTAGGAAAATTAAGAGTAAAAATGAATATAGGTTAACTATAGGTTTTCTTCTGAAATTTTAGCTCAAACATGGATGCAAAAACCACAAGGGTTCGTCTAAGATGATCTTTTGAGGGGGAGAGATTGTATAGCACATTCATTAGATAACATTTCTTTTCTCAATATATATATTATGGTTTCGTATGATATAAAATATATAAAATAATAAAATAATTACATTACAAATTATATATATTAGTGATTGGGATCCAAAAATCTCATTGTTTTGGACTTTCAAAACTGTTAAGTTATAAATTGCCAATTATGTCTACAAGAGATGTGTACGTACCGAATATAACCACAATAACACCCATTACAATTATGAGGCTTAAAGCAACCATTTCACCATTGAATTTCTGATAACTCCCTGTAATCTTCAAGTAACATGCGCACGGGAGTATGACAGAAGCAGTGATGCTTAAAAATGCACCAACCAGGGACATGAGGGAACCGAAAAAGGGGACCACCAGAGCCACCAACATGGTGCTGATCACCACGGTTGTCCCAATCAAGTGGTGGAGGAATCGCTTGTTGCAGTGATATGAAAACCGGGCTTTCGTAGCATTGATGATCGGCGTGACCATCAATGCATATTTAGATATGGGGTTCACCAATGTGGTGTAAATTGCAATTCTTGAGCTTAGCTTGTTAGTCGGAAGGTTCAATGTTATCTGTGACTGAACATCTGATCCGAACATTAGGTACCCGAGAATTGCCATCGATGCATAACATACGGTGCAGAAGATAAAGCATACAACCATAACCTGTAAAAAAGGTACTCGTATAACTCTAGGTCCGAGTAACATATATCGCAACACAATCGAATACAGAAAGTGAGTACTTACATTGGAGAAGTGATGCCTTTTCTGCATTGAAGTGTAAAGGGTAGGGAAAACCGGATGTGCACAATAACAAAAGGCAAATAAGCTGACAGCAGTGGGGATTCCATCCCAATTCACCAACTTTCCCTTTTGTTGAAACCCGATTCCATCAACTGCACCAGTCCATAGAACTGAACCGATGATGGTTAAAGAAGCTAAAACCCCAGTTGCAGAGATGTAAGAAAGAAGGCTCAAGTTATTCAACCAGACAGTAGGCAGAATTATGAGGGCAACGATTATGATGAATCCTTGTTTCCCACCGATGGTTAGCCCTGCAAACTCGAAGTGCTCAACGCTCGGTAGCAGAGTCTGCAGGTTATCTCCTTGGAGAATGAGAAATCCGGTGGCGACCAAGTAGAGCTCGACATGCATCAAAACCGATACTATTAGTCTCCCTTTCTTGCCAAATGCTTGATAGCCGATGTCGGGATAAGTTTTGATGTTGGAATCGGAGACCATGCATCTTTGAATCAATAAAGCTGAGTAGAATGTTGCAGTGGCAATTGCAAAAAGAAGAATCAAGCTCATCCATCCTCCTGATGCCACTGCATATGGTGTTGATAATATCCCAACTCCTGCAAATAGATGATTGATTAGAAACAAATAATTGAAAGGAAAATTGAGATTAATCAATGAGAAATATGTGTGTGTATATACCTGATAAAGCATTGAGTCCATTGAAACAAGTCTTGGAAAAAGAGGAGGCTGCTCTGAAATTTACATCATCACCATGATTTGCAGGTGCCTCTAAATCCTGTAATTTGCTTTGATTTTGGTCAAGAAGAAAAGGGACGTTAAGATCAAGTGGTGATCCCCCATTGTTATGCTCACTTGCCATTGATTTGCAGATAATGAAAAGATATAACGAAATTAAAGAAACTGTAGAATTTGCATGGAAGAAAACTTAGTAGCGAAACAGAACTTATAAGCAACAATTTCCTCACAGCAGACCTAATTTTACCGGCCAATTAAACGCGCCTTTAATTTCCCACGTTTTTTAAACATGAGTCACTCTACAAGTAGGAATAATTGAGGTGGGAAACCATTTGTTTACAAGTAGGAATAATTGAGGTGGGAAACCATTTGTTTGTCTATATATATATATAATTGCAGACAAGTAGGGTTTGAATCACGAATAATTAGGGTTAATGTGGTTCAATTACGAAGATAATAAAATTATTTAGTTAATTATATGTCAACTACAGTTCTAATTGGTAATTAAATTATATTTTATTATAATTTTAGTATTTGAAATTATTTGGTAATTAAATTTATTTAATGAGTAAATATTTAGTTATCGAGAAATTTTAAGTTTTTTATGATCAAGTATTTGACTCGAAATATATTTATATAGATCGAGTTATATGATACATGAGATATCATGTATTTGTACTATTTATAGTTATAGTTAATTATTTATTTCTCTCATCTGTGGAGGTAGACAAGATTAAATCACATTACATCTCTTTTTTATTATACATGTCTTATTTTTATATTAATCTTAAATTAAAATATCAATAGTTATTTTATATTATGTCTCTGTCTCTAGAATTAAGAGTCTAAATAATTTAACAGATATGATTAATTATTATTTATTTTCATTTGTAAATAAAATTATACCAACCCAATTGTACCTAAAATGTAACATTTCTATCCGACTTGGATGTGTATTCGTATAAGAGAAATCACATTCGAACGATGAAATAAAAAGGGGACCAAATTAAAAAACTTTTTCAACTTTTATGCAGGGGCGGAATATCGTGAATTGTTTTTTAATTATTAATTAATATTAAAATATATTTTTTTACCCCGTCATCCCGTTAAATTGACGATGTGGCAACGTTATCAAAATGGTTAATTTATAGTTTTACCCCTAAATTACTACTAAAACAATGATTTTTTATCTAATTAATCCTAAATACTTTCTAATTTCCTTTTTTTCTGATCACCCTCAATACTTCCATTATATTTGAACCACCCATTTTGCTCCGGGAGAGTAGAATTTGCTGAAGATGTCGAGCATAATACTTTACGACGATATTTTTGTAGTTCATAAGCTTGACCTAGATGATAAAAAGTTAGTGATACTTCCTTCATCCTTCAACAGTTTACTCGTTTAGGGGTTTCCCCTTTTTTATTTGTAATATTTTGCAGGTATATTTATGTGCTGTCAACTTACCTTCGTTGTGAAAAGGTTATTTTTTTAGTTTTATATTGTGAGTTTTGACTATGAAATTTTGATTATTTTCTTGTTTTCCCAATTGACGTACCTGGTAATAGTCTAAATCGGATCATTACATTACATTATATTATTTGATCTCCTTGCGCTGTTATAGTTCTCTGATCTTCTTTGGGGTCTAACACTAAAAACAACACCTTTGGAGAATGGATCCAAAGAGTCACTAGTTCAAGTTCTGCATCTCCCCCAAGCGTGATCGTCTGCTCAGCTCAGTAAGAAGCAGATAACAGAGAAAAAAAAGGAGGGAAATGAAGGGAATTAATTGTATTAACAAGGGCCTCAGTTTTCGCGTGGTGTAAGGACAGACCTGATAATTTCCATGTTCATCTATTAACTATTAAAAGAAGAAACGATTCATGCATTTGTACAAAGCCACTGTTTTTTTCTTTGCCATAAGGAATATATAGGAATGGTAAAGGAAGAAAATAAAAAACCTTCTGCACTTTCTAGTTCTCTTGAACTGTAAACGCTTCTGCTCTATTTCTTTGAACATGCCATGCATCTTATCCTTCCCCTCAATGATTCGTTCTTTCTCCTCCTTTGAGTACTCCACAATCCCCTTTGTTAATTTCTTCACCATTTTCTCGCCCGTCTCTATTTGAACCTTTTGACGGTTGATCTCTACGCTGCTCTTGTCAATATCCTAACAAAGTTAGAAGCGTTACTTATCAATTACCAATGAATATAGAATGAAGGAATTTGTAAATTCTGAGTCATGCAGAACTTACAGATTCTATCTTTTCAACCTTAGACTTCTGTGTTTTCAACCTTTCACCGCCAGCATTTTCTAATTTATTCTGCAGATCCGAAGCCTAAAAGTGAATCAACCATATTACCAAGGTCTTTCTCAACAGCGATAACAGTTTCTCTAGACACGCTGTTGGCTCTAATAGATGTCCCCATCTTACCACCACGCCGCTTGCTTCCTCCACCACTCATGGTGCCAGGTCTTTCGATAAGGGCACCATCAAGCCACACTTCGAAACTCTTATTTCCACCATATGCTATAGGTGTTGCCTGAGTTGGAGAGAAAACAGTTCAGTTGCTACTCATGTAGAAATGAAAATTCACTGAAATAATATGTCAAGCCTCCTTATATAACAACCACATCAAAAGGTTTGCATTTTCCTACGAGCTTTAATGTCTGCTGCCATTACTTAAAATCTCATATGCCTCTCTAAACTCATCTAAATTCTGAAATTCTAGCAGATATTCAAATGTTATCATGTGGCACATGAAACAAATTATGTATGAATATGCTTAATCATGGAGAAATGGTTATGTACCTGATCAAGATCCTTCCCTACAATTGTGTTTCCCAGGGAAGCATAGAAAGCAAGTTTCATTCTTTCATCCTAAACATGACAATTCCCAGTTATTTAGATCCAGATGACCACATTATGGCAACCGCACAGCTTTATCCACTATATAGCATGTGAAATATTAATAAGTTCTACAGCTCCAGGTGACCACATTATGGCAACTGCACAGCTTTATCCACTATAAAACATCTGAAGATATTAAAAATTTTAACAGCACAAAGTTGGTAAATTTCCATCCAATGCATCTCTTGCCAGATTTCTTCCCAAATTGATTTAAATTATAGAGAGTATGCTCAACCGAATTGTATAAACGGTAACAAAAATTTAGCATGCATTTAGTTTCTAAGATCAGAATCAACAATCAGCAAGATCAGAAAGTTCTGTTCACTTAGGACGAGCATATTTATCACATTTTCTCAGAGAATGGCTCATACCAGAATCATGAATGTCGCAATACCAAGCGGTCCAAGCCGCTCCCTACGGAGTAGTTCAACACATGATTGTGCTGCAGCATTGGTTTCCACCACAATATAATCAAGTCCAACACATGCAGTTGAGATGGCAACATCATACTTTGCTGCAGGACAACATCAAAGTAAAGACCAAAGAATAAATTCATTGTAAATATCATAGGAAAATATGGGATAGAAAGTGATAATATTAGTCTTAAACACCATAGCATGCAACTAAATGACTAGAAAAGGAAGATCTGCAACAAAAAAAGTGCTTATCATTCTATGAATTTTAATCAAAATAAAATATACTAGGAGTAAAAAGAAGGAAAGAATGAAGGGAGAGCAGGATGAAAGTGGAGAGAGACACAGAAAGAATGATACATGTACATGCGCATTCAGGCAATTTAACAAATAAAGTCACAAAGAGTGCCACCAGACACCAGCTATTACTCCCACAATATGGAAAAGATGCAAGAGCTAATAGAAGATAATTTGAAAGAATGGAGAAAACTAACCATCAATAGCCCCCCATATCACCCATTCTGCCATATATTCCCTCAATTTGCTTGGATTCTTTAGCCTGCAAAATTGCTTTTAAAACTGATCTCTGGCTCTTCTCAGAACCGAGCACCGACTTTAGTTCAACAAACTTCCCTGTTGCTGCTTGTTCAAGAGGAATCAGTGTTTCTTGTTCTTTGATGCATTCCTGCAAAACGTTAGTTGTTCACAACATATTCCATGATGGAAAAAGAATTTGAAAAAGAAAATTAGCAATAAAGAAAATCTCTGTATCAACCAACCAATGGTCATGGAATCATGAACCTGTTCCAATTTGCGTGCTTCCAATGCTTCAAGCTTTTTCTTTTCCAGATCAATTTGCTTATCTTTAATGGCTGCAGTCATAGTTTCAGTTTTCCCCAATATGTTGTCCATCTCTTTTCGAGCATCCTTGAAAGCTGTATGAGCAGCTTCATGCTAAAAGAGTCAACATTCAAATTAAGCCATGTTTTCTATCTGTCTCTAACAAAGATACTCACACTAAACTCCCTAAGAATAGGAATGCAGGAAGCCAGGAACAAATGCAAAATGAGCTTTCCATGAATTGTTTAATTGCAAGTATGCAATTTCGTTGCTAACTCATTCATGAGCAAACAAGGTCTCTCAAACTATCCTGTCTGGTGGACATTTGTACAATTGCAGCAAATGAGATCAGACAGCAATCTTTAGCTGTCTATGGTAGAATAAGAAACTTTGAACAAATGAATTTCATGATAGTTGCTTATAAAAATCCATTTAACTTCTACAGGTAATACAGTACAATTGCATTATCAAGTTCCTAATTATTTAGGATAAAAACTATTCAACTAATCATTTCAATAAGCCAATCCTGAATGTTAAAGCTAACATAATCATCACATAGACTGCTGCCTAACCCCTTTCTAAGGAATATAATAATATCAATAGATGCGACTTCTTTACCATTTTTTTTTAAGATAAAAAATATTTTTATTCATATTTAACAGTCTTACAATCATTTGGATACTCAATAGATGTGATTTATTCATATCTCTCTGTATGTATTATAATTATAGGGGGGAAATTCACATTTAAGTGTTTGATCTTTAAGTTGAAACAAAACTTGATTTCAAGATTTTTTTTATCTCAAATATTCTCGTTAAATAATCAATATATTTTTTTAAACTTCTTAGGAGTTCCAATAATATTCAAATTATCAATATATACAATAATATTAACATGTTTTGATCTTGATGTATTTATAAAGACATGTGAGCAAGTTGGATCATCTTTATAAATATTCATCGAGATAGGTATACCACATACGCTCGAACTAATTTATTATATCTAAATATTTAAACAGACATTTGTGTACAAATTTCCAAGGAATTTCCAAATGATTATGCATTTTAAATCATTTAGCGATAAATTTCATTATATATGGATCCACAAGATCATTAAACACGTTCTAAAAAATTTTCATAACTGTCGAACTAATAAAATAATTGAATCCACCATAAATAGATTTAAAAGTTCTTCATACCTCAAATCGGATTTTAGATCTTACCAATAATTATATCTCACTTGCATTACATCTTTAGGTGTTTGGACTTTTGGTCCAAAATCTTCATGTTTTGGAAGTTGACTAATTGCACCTGGATAATGCCTTTCTATTTTGACCAATAATTTCTATATTTATACTCCTTGATAAAATTTATATTCGATAACCTTATTTTATTTCTTTATTTTTTATAGAAACATTATTTGTAAAATTGTATTACAGTAAATTTTGGATCTGTTTGGTATCTATATTTTTTTATGGAATCATTTATGAATCAAATCTTGTTCTTTGCACTGTGACTGATGCGCATAACAGAACTCCATTGCCTATAGTTCTATCTTCCAAGTGTTTTGGAGACAAGCATCATTCCTAAGGGTGTAAATTAATAAAGCATTTGGTGAATTGTTCGTGAACCATTCGTATAACGTTCGTTATGTTCATTTGTTAAGCTAAATAAACGAGTATGAACAAAAAGTTTTATGTTCATTTAATAAATCAACAAACATAAATAGAGGTGTGTTCGGTTCGTTTATGTTCACGAACAAACTCGTTTACTCGTTTATCGACTCATTCATTTATGTTCATGAACAAACTTGTTTACCCGGTTCTCCTTTTCGTTTTTTTTTACATTTAAAATATTGGTTAATGTGGGGACTAAATTGAACATATGGTAAAAGTTGAAATTTAAACTGTTAATTTTAAGGAGTTTAAACACTTGTAGCATAATTTTAGCATTTTTCTTTAACTTGGAAATGAAAGGCTAAAACTAAAAATTGAACATATAAATGAAAACGAACACTAAATGAATAAGTTCACGAACATATAAATGAACACATTCGTGAATATTAAACGAATATGTTCGTGAATAATAAATAAACGAATACGAACACTATCAATAATAAATAAACGAATACGAATATAATATTAAAAATTTAAACGAATATGAACCGAACACGAAAATAAGCTTATTCGTTCAAGCTAGTTATTTTGAACCCCTAATCATTCCTGAATGTTCAGAAAGGTGCAAAACAGGTGGATCTGAAACATCAATTGGCGTTTCTATGGTCATTGATTTGTTCTTCATGATTAAGTATTTGTGCCAAAAGATGGTTTGATTTTGCAGCCATCAATGCTACCGCATCTGATGTTTTAATAGAATATTAGCTGAACCTTATTCCGATATGTAATGGGATAAGAGGAGGTAGGATAGTAGGCTACCCTCAACGTCAGGTTGAGAGCAGCTTCCGTAGGAGACCTCCAAATTATGAAATGCCCTCTTTGAAACTCGATCCCACGACCCCAAAATTAAAAACCTTATGCTCTACCAACTGAGCTGGATGGTCATTTCATTAATGTTTTAATAGAATATTCAATACAATCACCCAAATCTGGTTGGTCCTAAATTCAAAATTGTAAGTGACCCACCAATCCATTGAATGCTGCAATCGGTCAGTTTGCATGTGCTTACACGTTCTTCGTTCTTTTTCTTTTTCCTTTCCTTTTCAAGATTAAAACTCAGAGCAAAAAAATGTTGGAAAAAAAATTGGTCATATAAAAGTGTATGGAAAATTATTTTTTCAAAAACAGTATTTGTTATAGTATACATTAGAAGTCATCTGGAATACATAATAATTTTTTAAAGTCGTCTAGATTGTAAGGTATCTTCTTCATACTTTATGCATACACAATGATAAAAATAGGTGGTAGCGACGTTTAAAAATTATCTTGTGATCCAAGCGACTTTCAATAAGTATTATTTTCATTAACTAGAGAAATTTTCCATTAAAGCTCAAATTATAATCTCAATTCAACTGATTAAACCAATCCAATGGAGAAAAGAAAGATAAATTTGGCAATTCCAAAAGAATGGGGGCAGATTGTAGATAAATAACAGCGTCTTGATTAATAAATAGAGCAAAGGTTAGCCACTCTCATTTAATAATGGGGTGACACAAAACCCAGATCCGAAAACTACATAAACCCACCAGTAACAACCAACCTCGTAAATATAAAGTTAGCATTACAGTGCAACAAATTTATGCTTAATCATAAAAATTAAGGTAATAATAAAATAAACTTGGTGTAGTAATTTAAGGGCATTTGGGGCCTCCTTCCTTGGTCTTCCAGTTGTTGTAACAAGGGCAAACTTGTTTGTTCCCATAATACCCTGGTGGCACACACAGGCAAGTCCTGCAGCATTTCTGACAGAAGAACATGCATGGTTTGTGGTACTGGGTCTGGCTACATCTCCTTGTGCACTCCGATGGGCATTCTGGTCATTTCATTCCACCAAAAAAAAAATACAGTGTTAGTCCCCATGAGATTGACCACGTTTCAACTTTCCACCGGGCTTTGAAAAAGCTTCAGATTTCACCAGTCATTGTCAGATTCTTCAAAGGAATTTAACAATGGACCATGTTCCAGATCACATCTTTTAATAAAGGAAAGCTTTGAAAGAGGAAATTTTGGTTTGCTTACGGTTAATCTTGAGACTTCCAGGGCCATAACGTTTCTGCAAATGGAAAATTTTAATTTCCAGAGAAACAAACATATCAGAATGTGATACAATAAAAACTTCTTTATTCTAAAAACAATAAGCCATTTTCAAAGCTTTAGCATTTACTTGATCATAATGGTGACCGCCATGTCCATGCGATGCCATAACCTACAATGAAGACAGAAAACCAAAGATCAGATTGCTGTAAACTGCCATTTGTTTCTGCAACTTCTCTTTCAAGTTTTCAAGGTAATGTGGGAAAAAGGAAAAGTACCCACCATAGTTTGAAGCATGGAGATGGCAATGAGAGCCAAGAGGAAAGCAGCAACAAGCTTAGCCATGGAGTTGTTTGGGAAAGGAAGAGGGGATTGGATGAAGAAGTTTGAAATGGTGTGGGGTATATATAGGAGAAAGTTTGAGATTTTGGGAAGGGAAATTTCCATAGTGTACTTTACTCTTACAAATTACATAGTTTTGATGACAACTATCCACTAAGGGTTAAATTATAGGGTAAAAAATAAAAAAAAAGTTCCCATGCTATAGGGCATTATTTTGTAGAGTTTCCTGATTATTAGAAATTATAAAATGATCCCTTAATTATAAGATGTTGCATAGTTGAGTCTCCTGACTATTAAAAGTTACAAAATGACTAATCATATATTCAAACCTATCATTTTTCGTTAAAAATTTGATGACAATCTGAATGGGTTGCTATCTTGTTAACTGGATATAATAAAATATGATCTCATAATCTCAAACGGCTATACAACTGAAACAGTTCTAAAATCAAATTTTATTATATCTCAGTTATTAAGTTAACGTCCATCTTAGACGACCACTAATTTTTTTAATGAAAAAGGATAAGTTTGGAACATATGCATAATCAAGTGATAATTTTATAACTTTTAATAGTCAGGAACTCAACAAAGTAGTGCCCTATAGTCAGGGATCATTTGTGTATTTTACCCAGAATTGTATTCTTCCTTGTAATATTATTTAAAAATTATTTAAAATATTCATTAAAATTAATTAAATTATTTTTTACAATAATAAAAATTTAAATATTATAATTAATTATAAAATCACCTCAATTTTTTCGGTGACTCGAGAATTGAAGGGTTCAATTGAAATTATTTAACTACATTTAATTTAATGAGATCAGATTATTCAAAAATATAATTATAAATAATTATTTTCAAATCTTATTTAATAATTTTCCGAATATACTATAACTTACTAAATTGATGTGATTTGATAAACAAACCCAATTCAATCATATGTTTTATAATTAATATAAAAAAAACTTTTCTGGATTAAGATGAGTGGGGACAAAACTGATTTCCTTTGATTAAGGATCTGTTAAATTATATGGCCACGTTATTCATAATTGTGGGGACTTAATGCTTGTTTCTCTAAAAAATA